ACCTCAATAAGCTTAAGTCTACCAATGAGCTAGACAGATAAGCTGATAATTTCAATGTAATGTAGTCAGTGCTTTGAAAAAGCTATGAAGCACTCAGGCTGAGCTTCTAGACGAGTTGGGGTCAGGGATGGGGTGCAGAACTGGAAGAAGGGGCCACACTCAGAAAAGGTTTTATGGAGGAGGAACAGCATGAAATAAGTCTCAAAAGATGAGTTGTGTTACTCAACTAAAGAAGAAAAGCTTATGTGGATAAGAGGGAAGTGCACAAAAAGATGAAAAAGAAGTAAGAGATGATATTGGTGCAATCCAAAGCTTGATTCAAATTATATTTTATCAGATAAAGGTAAGAAACGATTTTAAGTAGAAGGGTGTCATAGTGAGATTAGTATTTTATAGTGATCATTCTGGTAGAAAAGTGAAGGATGGATTTAAATGGAAAAAAAATGGAGATGGGGAAAGAAGGATGTGACTATTGCCAGGAGTGAAAAAGAGATGAAATGAGCTAAACCTATGACAGTGGTAGTAATCACAGAAAGAAAGGAAAAGATTCCAGAATTACACCATATCATTAAGTGGGCATTTTAATTGAATTTGAGGATATCGAAAGTTTAAGTATGGGATGACTGTCAGATTTCTAGCTTAGGAAACACTGAGTGCATAATGGTTTCACTAACTCAATATGGTAAAGGGAGGGGCAGGAGTTTTGGAATGTAAGAAGAAGTCATTATTTGGTGGAGGGGAGGAGAAGGAGGGAGGCAGACGATGAGTCCATTTTGGTTATACAGAATTTGAGGCTCCTGGGACTTTGTATGCTCACCCCTCACTTAACCAAACTTTACTGGGCACCCATCACTTGTAATAAATGGAGGTGGAGGGACTGGATGTGCAGATACAAAACGAAATCTGACCTAGTCTAGAACCTCCCATATCTTACCATTCTCCTCCCTCCCTTCTTCCCTAAGCTGCTCTTTTTTTCTCCCCATAATAGGAACATCGACAATAGAGTCAGTATGTTCAATGTGTTCAGGAGGAAGGACTGGGGAGGAAGAAGATAGAAATGGGAAAATAGGCTCTGGAGGCCAGCCTAAAGAAAGGCTATCCTTAAACTATTTCAAGATAAGCTTTTCTAGAATCAATTATCTCTTTACTTTGATATGCTTATTAACACGGCTAATAGTTATATGGCTAAAATCCATTCTTTGTTAACTCAGGGACTATTACAAAACTATGAACACAGGAGTACTTAACAAATTACTGTTGACTACTTTATAGTAAGATAATTTAAAAGGTCATAAATAATTACAAAGTATATATTTAAAGAGTTGATTTTAAGTTCTTTGGTTTTTTCTTTTCCCGATATTTGAACTGAGGATTGGTGCAATTTGTAAGTAAATATGACCTTAATTTTTTTCAATTACTTTTTAAATTCTGGTAAAATATATGTAACCTAAAATTTACCATTTTAACTATTTTTCAGTATACTGTTCAATGGCATTAAATACATTCACATTGTTGTGCAACTACCACCACCGTCCATCTCCAGAACTGTATTGCCTTGATCTTTTTAAAAAAGTACTAATTGATTTAAGAATCAAGACCCATTTATCACCTGCTTTTGCATTTTATATATTCTACTTAAAGAAAAACAGAACTTCTACTGTGCTCTAAAATTATAGCTAGAGCCATTCCTCCATAAATTGAATATCAGCTTATGGATATTTAAATTCAGCAAAGAATTTTAACTTTCTACCAATTCTCGTATTCTGTAAGAAAAACATTGTGTTATTCAACAGAAGCAAAGAACATTCTCTAGTTAAACCATACCAGTGCTATGAATACTAAATATTCTCTTCAGTTAAAGTGAAATTTAAAGTTCAGAACTCTGTGTTCTAGGAAAAGTAGAGTATGCCAGAATGTGAAATAACAATAATGAGCCATAGTCTAGTAGAGTTCTTGGCCCACCATAGACTGCAATAAATGTTTTAAATGAATAAGAGAGTTTCCAAGCAAAGAAAATTAAATATAAATTATATAAAATTATTATTAATTTAACAATGGTATGAATCATGGTAATTAATAGGTGAAATGTATGTCCTGTTACTAATTTAAAGAAAAGTTAACAAAAGTATCGTTAGAAGTGCTTGTGTGAAATAAGCTAAAGTTATTCTAAAACACTAATTGGATTTCAATAGATATAGACGTTTTAAAGCTGGAGAGAGGTAGTAAGTAATTTACCGAAGGTCACACTCTGGAGGGTAGGGTCACCAGGATGCCCTGGGGCCTTTTCAGGTTCCCATCCACAGCGGGGAGTGGTGATGAAGAGTACAGATAGTGGAGCCAAGCTACCTGGGTTTCAGTTCCCATTCTGCCACTTATTATCTGTGTGGAATCAGGCAAACTATTTAACCTTTGTCTGCCTCAGCTGCTTCATCCACAAAATGAAGCTAATCATAGGGTTTTTGTGAGAATTAAATGTAAATGTGCCAATACAGGTCAAATGTCTCAAACTGTACGTGGCACAAACTAAAAGCTTAATAAATGTTAGATATTATCATTGTCATTGACTTCTTTTTTGTGTGTGTGAGGAAGATCAGCCCTGAGCTAACATCCACGCCAATCCTCCTCTTTTGGCTGAGGAAGACCAGCCCTGAGCTAACATCCGTGCCCATCTTCCTCCGCTTTCGCCACAGCATGGCCTGACGAGCGGTGCATCCGTGCCTGCCCAGGATCCGAACCCGGGCCGCCAGCAGCGGAGCGCGTGCACTTAACCACTACGCCACGGGGCCCGCCCCTGCTGTTAAGACTACTTGATTTAAAACATGGCACAGGGACTAAACTCTCCTTCTCCCAAAAGAATACAGACTACTCAGGGGAGGTGCTTGGTTTCATTGTCTTTCATTCAGTCTCTTGCAGCCTGGGGTTATGAAAAGTGACCCTTCATTAAAGACAGGAACACTGCTACGATCACCACCACTGCCATCCTGCATCCCAACCACCATCACCACCACCGCAACTTCCATCACCACTATCACTGCCAGCACCTCCACCAGTTCCACCACCACTATCATGAGCGCCAACATCGCCATCACCACCACCACCAGCACCATCACAGCTACCATCACCAACATAACCACAAGTTTCACTACTATTTCCATCATCACCATCATGACCACTATTACTGCCCCCACTATCCTAACCAGCGCCTGCACTCACAACAACACCTTTAACATCTATGTGAGTATAAATGTGACTCTAAAAGTGTCATTTGGAGAGTGAAGAATAATGGACAAAATGTAAGTGTATACATAGACTGAGCCAACAGCTTCAGAATAAAACCATTGGAAAGGCAAAATTAAAACTTTCCTCTTACATGCTAACCTGTGCTGTTTGGAATCTGCAGCTAAAGCTGTTTAAACTAGTGCTTAAGAGAATGGGTTTTAATCAAGGAGTCCTGGGTTTGAGTTTCATATCTGCTACATACCTGACTTTGAGCAAATTATTTACCCTCCCAAAGGCTCAGTTTTTCTCTATCTGAAAAATGGTGATATCCATTATTGAGAGTTTGTGTGACTATTTAACAAATACTCACAGGTAACATAAGCACTTAGCACAATGCTTGTACTAATCTAAGATTAAGACCTCCTCTGTCACCCTCACACCAATTTTCCTCCCAGTCTGAACTAGGCAGTAAACGGTACCATCATTCACAGGGACGAGCTGGCCTCGATTCATCTCTTTCCCTCGTGTCCCATCCCCACCCCAAGAGAACTCATTACCAGATTCTTCCTGTTTCACCTCCAGAACGTACCTCAAATCCATCCATTCCCCGCCACTATCCTTGCCCAAGCCCAGACTACTCTGATAGACCCTGTCTCCCAGCCGCTGCTCAGTACAACCCATTCTCCACGTAGCAGCCGAGTAAACTTTAAACATGTGAATCAGATGATGCTTAAAGCCTTCAATAGCTTCCTATTGCAGTTAGAATCAGATACTTTACCATCATTTTTTCTACGTGATCTGTCCCCTGTCCATCTTTTCTACTTTACCTCTTACTGCTCTCTCCCTAGCCCTAGAAGCTTGGGTCACACCGTCCTCCTTACTGTTTCTTTAATGCATTGAGCTTTTGACTCTTCTTTCAAAGAGGCCTTCCAGTACAGTATCCTTCTAAAGCAGCATCCACTACATTCTACGCAGTTCCTCTTCATCATTTCACCTTATTTTTTCCATAACTCTTGCAATCTGAAGTTATATTTATTATATTTCTTTTTGTTTATTTATTTAGTCTCCTATTATCAGAATGTAAGTTCCTTGAAGAATATTATATTATTGTTCATGTTCTGTTCCCTGTTCTATTATTCCATGTTCTATTATCGATTATGCTCTATATTATTGATCATGTTTCTACTCTCAGTGCCAAGAGCAGTACTTAGAATATTTTTGAAATGTGATTAAAATATTCACCATACAAATGGAAATTAAAATTTTTTTGGATCTAAATGTTTGACTTAAATAATGTCTCATTATGGAGAAAACAACTATAGGGGGAGTTGTCTATAGGGAACGAAGCCCTCAAATCCCCAAATGGAGGGAAAAGAATAGATGGGTAATAAATTCAGGGAGACTTATGTTTGAAGGTCCCATAAATAATTTTCTCATAAGGTGTTCTGAAATAAGTATGAGAAAGGTTAAGAGAAACTTTATCAATTTAGTTTAGGTTCTAGAGTTTATAATTGATCTCTGGTGTCTAAAGGTTATACTTAGGCTAACATGAACATTCAAAAGCTAAATCATTGCCAAGGACATATAATGCCTAAAACCTGAATGCAACGGGTGGGTCTGTCACATAAGTAAGAAAATAAAAGGTACTTGGTGATAGATTCAAAGCTTAGACATTGTGATTAGTTGGTTATAGGAGTGTGTGATTCGTTACTTATAGGAGTGTGTGGTATCTGGAAAGCAAACGTGAAAGTGACATAGCATTTCAACTACTCTGTACTCACTGTGCATGGCGTCTGCATCCACGGTTCCCCATCGATCTGCATTGGCAGAGACTTGCTCGTCCTGGGGGAAAATATTTCATTTTAAGTATTACACTGAAACACTGTATATAACAGACTATGTGTAAGATATAAGGTGATGAGAACAAGGAGTGCAAATATGGTAATAGCTAGGCTCTAAACTTATCTCTTTTGAAAGGGACTTCAACTCTTGACTATTAATAAATACCCTAAAAAGTACCTTGCACAGGAATGTTAAAAGCTTCCTGGTAAATGTGATGATATAAACAAAAATTATCGATGCCAAAAGAAAAATGTAGGGTTTATGTTTAAAGACACAATCAGAATTCCTACGGTTAAAAGAGCCTCCTTGCTTTCACGCAAACCCACATTGCAAACCTGGAGAAAAAGTGTTTGATGTTTCAGATTTCCAGTATCAGTATTTTGATATACATAACATCAATTATATCTGTGCTATAATCCATAGTATCACCTTAGGGTCAAAATAGACCTTTTTTCTACAGGTAAAATTTTGGAAAAATGTTTCCTGAAAAAAGTTTAAATTTAATCCACATATAAAATCTTACTTTACAATAATTTTTTATTTAATTTTATAGAAATAATGGTGCACTTTAGTTCGCGAAAGAATTTAAGATAATGATGCTTCAACAATGTTTTCATTGGGTACTTTGCCCAGTAGATGCTTTGATGCTTCAGTAAACTAAACCGAGTGTGAACCAGATTAAAGGGGATGATATTTGTATGTTAGAATTGTATCCATGGTCTCAACAAGAGAATCAAATTCCAATGAACCTGATAAGTAATAGCTAACTAAAATTTTGTAAAATCTGCCAATTTTCATTATTTCAAAATATATCAGTATCAATCATTGATCATATGAGGCAAAAATAAGACAAATGTCATTATTGGAGTCCTGCATACTTTTAATTAGTTTGTAGCCATGCCATGTCAAACCACTTTCTCAGTTACAGAGAAAGAAATACCTGATGACCACAGAGGAGCATTGAGCCAGCCGTCGTCCAGCACTTTTCAGTCCTGTGTATATTTGCCCCATCTCCATGGCTCCTTCCAAGCCAACCACCTCCAGCAGCTGATCACTCAAATCTGAAAGAAAACAGATGCCTTGTAAGTTACAGTGCATATGCATATGCCCACAATTTAATGCCATTGGATATTGTGGAGATGAAAAATAAAAGCTACTTCACAATGAAAGCTTCTCTGCCTTGGACACCGAAGGAAATGAAAAGATGGCCTACTTTTGAAACTCTCAGTTTAACTAAACCTTGAGGTGCTGTGGAAAAAGATTTGCTGTCAGCTTATTCTAAAATAAATGGGAAGAATGGATTCTGAGCCAAATAATGCCAAAAAATATACCAGTAGTTTTTAACATCAACAAACTTAATGTTATTCCACATGTATATATGGAACATTCATACATCCCACATCAGACATTTGGCAGCAAATACACATTTCAACACTATAAATACAGTATGAGGATATGCTGTCAAACATGATTTTGTTAAATTACTTGAACAAAAGACCTTAGAGATTATGGAGTTTCTCATTTTAAAGATAAGAAGACTTAGTCTCTAAATCATTGAGTGACTTGTCCACAGTCAGGTAAATTTGTGCAGAATTTCAAGAAACAATATTAATTTCTTGAGATGTTTTTCTGATGATAAGGAATATGCTACCAAAATATTATTTGGGAGTAGACTAGATAATTAGCACAGTGCAATCACTATTTTTTAACAGTGGACAGTAGAAAGAGGCGAACAGTGTAGATATTGCTTGTTGAGTGTTTCCTAGGTGCCTGTCACTGGACTGATCACTTTCTATATATCATTTTATTAGCTCCCCCTCTAAATCAAGTTAAGATACACATGATTATTCCCATTTACAGATAGAGAAGCTGAGAATTAGAGCAGTTGACTAATTTATTCATATTCACTTATCGAAGAAGTAACAGAGCCAAAATCCGAACCCAAGCACTTTGATGCATAACTGCTATGCTATATTTGACACATCAGTCATACCAAAAAAAGAGACTTTAAACATGTATAGAAAAGTTTCTTACATAGGGAGGGAGGTGTTTGTGAACAGATAGTTTGATATTGTTTTCGTAGGAGAAAAAGCTGGGGTTTGTGGCATAGAGTGGGAGGGCATGATGATTATACAAGATAACCAGGTAACAGCTGGTCATAGCTGAGGGTGGGCTTGAACAAAAACAAGCAAATGTGTTTTGTATGGACTCTATTTTGCATGGAAAACACTCATTCCCCACTAATGAATCTATTGTAGCATGGAGTTCAGAGACGTTAAGTGGTACATTTTCAGTGTAGTTCAAGTGTGTGGCAAATCATATTTTGAAATTTCAAAGTTTGTTAGGCTCATGATCATTGGCAAATTTAATATAAGCCCTTAAAACAGACAGTGTGACCAAGCCACCGTATTTTAAGTGAAATGATTTAAAAAAACTCTTATTTTTTAAACTTTAAGCTATAGCTGCAGCTATGAGATTTCTCCAAGTAAACACAATCTTCTAGCTACAAAATCAAATGTTAACAAGTCATAATAACTTAGAGCATTCACCTTGCTGTTCTAAACCCTATGTAGACATATTTCTCATGAAACTTACTCTGTGTTTCTAGTTTAAATTTATGTTGCCAAGAACAGATGGACAAGGAATGGAAACATATTCTTTCAGCTGTAGCCGGCACTAAAATGTGCTTGGCTCTATAGCCTGGGTGTTAATATACGCATTTCTTAGATATATGTCAACCAGAAAACTACATTGTGGCAAGCACTAAAACCCCAGATGTGTGTCTGGTGATATTTATAAAACAACAACAACAACCACAAGATTGAAGTTCATATTTAGTATTATATATTTCGCACTGCCTGATTCCTAAATAGGTGAAATTTTATGCTAATTTTTGTAATGATCTGGTTGATGGGAAGTATTCTACAAGAAATCAAACACTTTCTCACGATAGAGTTAATCTGTGAGCCCTAACTTTTCCACAAATCACAGGGATTGTCTACACCCACACCATATTGCTACTGTCTACCACCCTCCTTTTGATTTTTTTCTTTCTTTTAATTTGTCTTTTTCTCCCTGCAAAAATGAAAATCAATTCTGCCATAAATAATCAGTAATGAAGAGATTTCTTACGGATTTAGAAGACCTAGGCTTTCAAACTTGCATGTTCGTCCTAACACAAAGAAGTGTATAGAAATTGTGGAATATTTACTAACTGATAAAGGTAAACAAACACCATATTCCTTCTAACTAGATGCCCAGAAAAAAAAAGGAAAAGAAACTCTAAAGTTGTGCTGCACAAATTTACTCCCCTAACACATCTACATTTTTTGATACAGCACAGTTTGCAATGTCTGTATACAACTGATGCCTCTCACATATTGTCTTTGACCTCAGACAAAGATAGCTTTTATGTCTACAATTTTGAATTTTGTTTCTATATGCAGTATCTTGTAAAAACATCAAAGACTTCCTCACTTCACATTCCAGCTAAAATTCATTTTAAATGTAGGTCCCCTTGGGATGTCATAACCAACCAGACTCATCTACTTAGTTGGTTTGCTACTGGTCTACTGATTTCTTACTAGGAGTAGCAAACTACAGGCCATGGACTGAATCCAGCCCACTGCCTGGTTTGTATGGCTTGCAACTTAAGAATGGTTTTTACACGTTTACAAAGTGGAAAAATTTTTTAGAAGAATAATATATCGTGACATCTGAAGATTATATGAAATTCAAATTTCAGTGTCGATAAATTAGTTTTTAGTGGAACACAGCCATACTCATTCATTTAGTTTTGTCGATGTCTGCTTTCACACTACAATGGCACAGTACAGTAGTTGTGACAGAGACCATATGGTCCATAAAGCCTAAAATATTTACTGTCTGGACCTTTAGAGAAAAAGTGCCAACCTCTGCTTAAGAGAAACATTAACTCTTTCAGGCCAGTGAGGTTTTCCCTTTAGTTCTGTCACTATCAATGCTAAATGGAATCACAGTGGCCTGAAAGACATAACATCCAAGCACTCATTCCGCAGTGTGTATGTCTGTGCATAGAACAGCTGCTCTCAACCACGAAGTCTCACCACGCTGGTGTACTGTGAGGTTTCTCATAATCAACTTGTTATTAATCATGAAATACCAAAGTTTTCAAATAACTTTATTACAAAAGAAACTTCAACGCTTAACGGTCAACATTATGCTCAGTCACTGTATGCTGGTTGGCTTTCTCGAGTGTGAGAAAGAGAAGCAGTCATAGATAGGAAGGCAGAAGTTGCAACCAGACCAAGAGATCCAGGTGAGATTCAGCTCCACCTGTGAAAGTCACCTGCCAAGTACTGAGAAATCCTGACATACTGATATTGGGAAACGTGTGTCTATCCTGAGGAAGATACTGTTTTTGTTCAATTTAATGTTATGAGATATACTTTTGAAGGGGAAAAATAATATGTTTCTGAAAGAGCTAACATGTCTTTCCAAATGGTTCCATGGGAGTAACAGGCAAGAGAATCTGCCAAATTTGGTATTTTCATATTTAAAATAGAAAGTCTAGAAGACAAGCTCAGAGGGAAGAAATTTAATGAAATAACCAAAATTGGGTCATATTAGAGTAAGATTCTTAAAACAAGGTCAGTACCTCTGAATAGGGAAAAATATAACTTTATTTTTACTACTACATAATTGAAATTAAACATTTATTTCAATTATAAATTTAGGCAAGAAACCATAGTTGTCATAGAAATACCTGTGACTTTGTCACTGATAGTTATTCTATTTCCATATCACATTATAGTTGTCACAATATTTCAAAATGTTATTTACACTAATTATTACTTAGAAATCTTAATAATTATTGACCCTCTGCTATATTTTTAACGTTAACTTATTAGTAAAGAAGAACATATTACTAAATTAAAATTTTAACAATATTTCAATATAATTGGTTTCCTTTGTTAGCCTATATATTTTATTTTATGAACTTTAAAACACCAGACTGGCAAAGCAGACTATAGCACAAAAATGGTTAAGAAACCCTATTTTAGAGTTTAATTCGCCTTTGACTTTGTAAATCTTTTCCTGAACATTGTTAGTGCTGCATTATTTTGTAACACAGGTAATCAGATATGAATGTGAAATCTGAAAGTCAGGGGCACAGTATAGATTTGAGAACACAGGAGCAGCACAGCTAATAAGTAGGTAATATTTATTCATAGCTTCGTCACTTCATTTTTGACAGTTATGCCCTGATAATATGTCTCATTATGTAATTGTCTCAGACTGCCATATGTGAAGGAACAGAAGAGGATGCATTGCAAACACAGACTGAATGTGGGTTGTAGCATTTCGGCATTTCGTAGAATATAGTGTGTACTGAAGGGAGGAGAACAGGGGTGGAGGCAGGGCAGGTGAGAGTCCTTCGTGCACGGTGTCCAGTCCTTCGTGCACAGTGCTGCAACACTGTGGGAGGCCATGTCATGGGGTACCCTCATAGACTCAGCAGGGACATTTTGTAATCACCATAAATAGCTAATTATATCACCACCTATTAAGTCCTTATTTGGCCAGGGTGAGACCAGGCTAGCTATGGAGTTGCACTTTCTGAGTGTGGGTAGATTGTATATATGCCTTCCAGTCACTCTCCATTTATGTAGCAACTATTTGAAACATGCCTGGGGATCCAGAAGAAACATTTAAAAAGCCAAGGTATAGATGAAATTCCTCCACCAAAGTGAATGCTGCAAGGATTCTTCCTTAAAATGTCTATCTATTGCCCATTGATTCTTAATTTAGATGGACTTCTCACAAGCACAAAAAGCTATTTTCCCTGACCTCCATGCAAATTAGAAAAGGGGGTGAGTGCAGAGAAATGAAGCAAAAATTTATTAATATGGACTCTGTGTTTCCCAGTACAAGTACATAAACATTAAGGCATACTATACAATTATAGGTCTATCAATGAAAGGGGCAGGGTTAATATACATACTGTGTGCCTACTACGGGCAGGCTCTCTGCTAAGGGATTTACATGCATTTTTCCTTTTAAGACTCCCAACAATCCTCTG